AAGAAAAAATGATTCTTCTTCCTAGAAAACTGGTTCTTCCCTGAATTCCTTTCTTCCTTTCCTTCTCCCTTCTGTTCTTCCTTCCTTAAAGTGGCTTACAAAAATAATCAATATATTGTTAAGAAAGCAAGGAAAATAAAATAAAGTGACAAAAGGAGTTGGAAACATAAAAATAAAGGCAGGTCCAAACACCTGTGAATGCCTGGATCTTCTATACATACTAGGAGAAATTGCAAATTTGGTTCTGAGTTTTCCAGAAACTCTAGCAAAGGGAGGAATATGCCACAATTTATTTTATGTGATTCATCATTCCTATAAGAGGCTCTATTTTTGGTTTTTTAAATAAGAACTATTAATAAGAAAGCAAAAGAGTTATTCTGTAGAGGAGAAAGAGAATCTTAAACCAAAGAGACACAGGGCAGCAGGAAAATTTTGGGAGTCCATGCAGCAAGGAGATGAGTCAGGGGTAAGAAGAAGGCACGGGTAGAAAGAATCAAGATACAAAATAAACTTTCTGCACTCAGAGTAGCTAGTATCCTGAGGAATCTTCAAAGAAAGAATGTATACATATTTGAACTTTCCCCCACTCATTTATCTCCTACATGAACCCTATACTTTTCTGGAACTAGAAATTGATAGAAAAATTCTTGGAAAGCAGAAACTTTGTCACTGTCATAAATAGCAGGAAGAAAAAGATGGAGACCTGGATTGTCTTTAGGGACAATGCTTAAGCTGAGGCAAACCACCTGCCAGTGGAAAAAAACCCAGACCTCTCAAAACAAAACAAAAAGCAAGCATGGGCTGTATCTGATGACAGACAATAAGCCGTGCTCAGTAGCATTTAGGGTTTCAGGCACAGCACTGGGGTGAGGTACCACCAGGTTCACTGCCCAAATGCAGGCTGATGGTGTTCTACAGAGAGTTTCTGCTGAAAAGTCACCAAAGCCACTGTTTGGACTTTTCTTTCTCCAATTCTTCAAAAAAAAATTCAGCTGTCTCCTCCAGAGCCCCAACAAGAGGCAAACAGACCAAAAAACGTATCAGGTGGGTGTCAGCTCATCTGCAAAGAGCTGCCAGCTGACTGCTAAGTTTATGAGACACTATTTACCAAAGGAGACTCGCCAGCAATGTGCCCCTCCAACCATGGCATGATTCACTGCTGGCTTTTCATCCTGACTCAGTTCATCCTACATTTACTGCTCTCTACAACGAACGCCCTTAAGGGAAAACACTAGTAAAAAAAGCTGGACAGCAAGCCGTCACATGACTTTGGCTTGGCCAATCAGATGTCATCCCCCAGGACTCTGGCTCTTGAGCAGCACATAGAAAGAGGAGATGCTTGGTAATTACCCACTTTTTCCTGTGGTTGGCAATCATTCTACTTCTGAGCTCAACAAGAACTCCTGAAGTTCTTGTTTATTTATCAGCCCTGTCCTCCAACATTCTGTCCTTAATTCTTTAAGCCCATCCATTGTAGATTTTCCAAATTACCTTGGGACATATTCCTAAGTTAGTTTCTGATGCTTGTAGCCAAGAACACTGACAGATACATAATAGTCAGGGTCAAACTGAACTGGCAAACTCATTCAACAAAACCAAATGAACAAAAAAAGAAGTGGCCAGGATGGCCTGACAAAATACTTAAATGTCAGACCTTTTATGTAGCTCTAGATGTCAAGTAGGACCTCCCTGTTCCCTGATATCTGGGAAAAATTGGCTGGAGTCTTTCAATTCTACAGCCCGTTGAAATCTAAAACTGTTGCTCAGTTCTGAATTTCCTTGCTATTGGTCTAATCTTTTTGTCTAGCCTTCTGCCATCCCGTACCTTTTGGGTGTCCCTTCTGCAGGCTCTCTTCCAAATTACACGGACCCAGACAGGCCTGCCAGCCATCTCAACAATGCACACTCTCACACACCCACACAGGCTCATATCATGTTTGTAGTGTAGCAGGAGACCATGTGGTTTCACGACCTTGAGCAGGTTGCTGAACCTCTTTGTGCCCTGGTTACTACACACTGTAAAATGGGTGTAATAAAGACGCGTGCCTCATAGGGTTGTTTTACAAATTAAACAGGTAACGCATGTTAAGTTTATACCTCATGATGTACTCACACCTAGTAAACATTCAACACTCAATTCCTAGCCAAGCTAGAAAGTTTTACTGAAGAGCTGGATCCTGGGAGAGGTCAGCACACACCTCACGCACATTTATTTTATTTTTTCTTAATTTTATTTTATTTTCATTGTTGTTCAAGTACAGTTTTCTGTATTTTACTCCCACCTCAGCCACCCACCCAGCCCTCCCCGCTCCCTCCCATTTCCATGCCCCCTGGTTTTTGTCCAAGTGTCCTTTATACTTGTTCCTGTAAACCCTTCCCCTTTTCTCCTGAAATTCCCTCCCCTCTTCACTCTGGTCACTGTCAGCCTGCTCTCTATTTCAGTGTCTTTGGTTATATTTTGCTTGTTTTGTTGTTTAGGTTCCTGTTAAAGGTGAGATCATAAGGTATTTGTCTTTCCCTGCCTGGCTTATTTTACTTATCACAATGCTTTCCATTTCCATCCATGCCAATGTTCTTAGCAGCACAATTTACAATAGCCAAATGTTGGAAGCAACCTAGATGCCCATCAGTAAATAAATGGATCAAAAGACTATGGTATATTTACACAATGGAATTCTATGCGGCAGAAAGAAAGAAGGAGCTCCTAACCTCCCACACATCTAAAACAAGCCAGCAAACAAAGGTACCCAGCCTGACCACTCTCCAATCCCAACAGCCACCATGGTACTGCCTGTTCATCTCACCCCTTTCCAAGCAGAGCTCAGCCTCTCCTCTGAATCTTGTCTCTTCTCCAACCTTCCCCCTCCTTATTTCACTCATTTTCCTATCTCAAAAGCATGTAAAAATTCCCTACTTTTGTGCCAGGGATTTAGGCCCTTTGGCTCTCACTTTAGGCATTTTACCAAGTGAAGACATTTTCTTACCAAAAAAAAAAAAATTCTGGTTTCTGCTCTTAAAGTAATTAACATTTACTCTGTCTAGTTGTGCCTAGAATATCAGTTTCTATACCCTGGTCATTTGCCTACTACCCTTAGGATTTTTTTTCAGATTCATTTGTTAATGAGTATTTTAAAATTACATAACATTTTCTTTAAATACACTTAATTTTCTATTTTAAATCAATTATTTTAAAAGGGAACTATAAGAGTGCAAAATAGTATCAGTTATCATATTAAGATGGTTATGTTAAAATAAATATTTATTTTAAAATTAAAAAATGTTCATATACCACCTAAAATCATTATGTATTATTAGACAGCCACCATCACAATCTGGTAAATGTAAGCTTAAAATATGTCCTTTCTCCTGGACACCCCCACAGGCTGGACTGAGGAAGAAGTGTGGAGAGTCTGTGGCATTTGCATGTTACTAATATTGTGGGTAGAGAGGGGGAGTGGGCGAGCATGAGCACATGTTGATGGGATCAGGCTAGAAATCTGACAGCAAAGACGGTCTGGAGATGAGATTCTGGGGAGTGATTATTATCTGGCATCCTGAGTGAAAAAAGACTCACAGCACCTGAGGCTTCATTTAATTGAATTGTATTCTGCCATTAGAATCCAATGCTGCTACAAATAAAGGTTGAAAAGCTAAAAATGTTAGGGATCATCCAATCTAAATTATCCACAAAGAAGTGCATTTTACCGAGTGATGCAGCTTGATACCGTGTCTAAAACTTAAAACAGTTTCATAGCTTATCACCATCAATATTTCTAACTTTCACCTTTTGATTAACTAAAAGAAAATTGAGACTCCCTTGATTTCCCTCTGCTTTCTCTGAACAAATGTCACAAACTTTCAGAGGAAAATTAAATACATGGCACCAGCCTTAAAAATCTGCACTGAGGTTCTAAGACTCTGCACCAAGTTAGTGTGTTGGGTAAATTAAAAAAGTCCACAATGCTTCTACTGAGAATGTAACGTGTTTTGTTGCTTCATAGTCAGAGTCTCTTTGCACAGCAAGGTGCCACAGAACTAAACCCCATTTGAAACAGAGTAACATCAATGGCAGTCTGATTGACAAACCTTAGCTAAATACCCAACATGTGCCAGAGATTAAGCATGAGACACATTCTACCCTTAAGGAGCTCCTGGGTTTAGTGAGCCTTTGGAACCTGGTAGCATTACACTAGAGTTGCTGTTAAGACATTTCACAGCTCCCTTTTGTCACAGTGTTCTCCTAGGTGAACACAGAAGCACAGAGCCCCTGATCCAAACCTGAAATGTGCTTTTCTACAGGTCTCAAGTGAAAAAAATACTGTCCTGTGATTACACCAGGAATGCTTTTTTTTTTTTAGAAAGTCTTCCAGCTATTGGTATCTTCAGCTAGTCCTCAACCTCAAATGTCAATCCATCACACTTAAGCCTTATTGAATACACTATTTGTTCCTACCAAATAAAATGCAGCAAGCCTTTCAAAGAAATAATTTCCCCGCCGCCACCCTACTATTAGATCTCCAAGGGCAGCAGGAAATTATGTGAAAACAAAACAAAAAGCATTCAGCTTTGTATAACTATACCATGCAACCATCATGTCTCATTTAATGGCCTGGCTGAAAAGAGAAGTGGGCAAACTAGAGCCTGCTATTAATAGCTATTTAAATGCATATTCAAAGTGTAGTTGTATAGATAGGTATTCTTAATCTATTTTTGTGCCATTTAAATATATCTTCTTTCTCCCTATTACAGAGATGAATATCTACTTTCATGTAATTTATCTCCCATAGTGCAGAGTTTTTGTATAGGCATCTGGAAACAATTATAGTCATACTTATTTATCATTTAAGCAGAATAAAAAACATACTAATAATTGAACAGAATCACATTCATGCTTATATATGAAATGTTGAAGAAAATCCATGCCCATAGCTTTGTTACAAAGGCCTCATAGTGCAAATGACCACAGTTTATAGCACAATATATACAGAACTGTCACGTACCTCACATTAGCATCAAGTTCGTCCATTACAGGAAATAGGCATGGGTGAGTTGGATTTCAGCACCCGAAGGGTCCTATAATGTGGGAATAAATAAGAAGTTAGACAACCAATTAATGTAGGAAAATAAAAGTCCTTGGCAAAGGGGAAAAAAGGCCAAAGAGTCATTGCTTCCTATTTATTAGGACTTTGTAGAGTATCAGTATAAACTATTTAATGAACAATATGACAGCAAAAAGCTATTGGCAAATTGATGTATGGCACCTCTAAGTGATGCAGAAAGTTTTTATTAATTTCCTGGAGATTAAAACATTCAGGTATTTTATTTACTCTGTGTTAATCAGTTTATTTGTTATTTTTTGCTATTCTCAGAAACAGCTTATTTATATGATTTGCATTACAACACTAACCAGTGAAAATAGGTAATCACATTGTTATGATTAAAATAGCACATTATCTAAAATGGTCAGTCACTTTGTTTTCTTTTAAAATTTGCAGGGTTTTTTTTAACCCTTTTTGAGGGTGGGTAATCATGTATCCCTTTGAGAATCTAGTAAAGTTTTGAGAACATTCTACCCAGAAAAAAATAAATGAGCATGCACACACACACACACTTTCAGGGGAGCCCACAATTCCTTGAGGCCCATCCATAAACCCCAGGCTAAGAACTCCCAGTCCAAGGGGAGTTAACCTTCAGAGTACCCAAAGTTCAGCTAGCATAGACTTTATGCCCTTTAACAGATGGACACTCACTGATAGTCACTAAATCGGCTCTAAACTGACTGCAAAGTTTTATTTTCCACAAGAATCCGTTTTTCAACACATTTGTCCAACAACATAATGCATCAGAGAATGTAGGGGCAGAGCCTGGTCTGTCGCTTCTGGGGTTAGCCTCAGCAAGTCCCTTTTTTCTTCCGAGCTTCATCATCTACTTCACAAAAACAGAAAGGATTAGAAGAGATGATCTCTGGATTCATTTCCAGCTCTGGTACTCTATAATTCCATCTGCTGGTGTCTAATTAAATATAACCAAAATGAAACTGTAAATCTGTTTAGCTACATAACAGAACCACGAAGCTCAGCCCCGGCCCTGAGATGCTCTGATTGGGATGGACCGAACGCGCCCGGCAGCCAAGAAGAGAATGGCAGACCAGCAGAGTTGGAAAGGATATAGATCTCATTGAGTTTGTTCTTTAGAGCCTCTAAGACTAACAGGGACTCCTGTGGGCATTTCTGGATCTTGGTCAGGGGTGGGGAAGGCTCAACCTGAAGGTCTCTGAACCCCGACTCTGATGTCAAGCAAAGTAGTTCTGTTCACTTCTCTCTGTTTTACATTTGAATTTGGAATAATCTTTTATTTGAAATAGTTAAGTACAAAGCCCTAACAAATGAAGTGACAGGGCTCTATTCTCTTTCCTCTTCTATCTAAAATCATTGCTCACGTATGAATGACCCATGGACATGGACAACAGTGTAGGGTTTGACTGTAGGAGTGGCCCGGGCACTGGGTGGAGGGAGGAAAGGGGGTAAAATTGGGACAACTATAATAGAATTAATAATAAAATATTTTTCAAAGAACAAAATAAAATAATTTCTGAAGTGAACACATCCATTTCCATGGCTTAAAATATTGCCTATTCACTGAATGTTCCCAAAACAAGAAATAGCTCTAGCCCAGGCCTTTCCCAGACTCGTATGGCCTACCTGACATTACACCTGGATGATTACAAAGCATTTCCAACTAAACTCTTCATTTCCCACTCCCAGAACAAAAACCTACTCCTCCTCTTTTGTCTCCAGCTCAGTAAATAGTTCCATCATTTATCCAGTTACTGAGACTGAACTGCCTCTTTTTCTCACATCCTATAACCAAACTATCAGCAAATTCATTCTCTTGGTTTTGATAATGGTTCCTTCATCTGACTATTTTTATCATTATCTCCAGAACCAGCACTTTGGCCCAAGCAAGCAACTACCTCCCTTCACCAGAATACCTTACACCCTCCTCACTGATCTGGTTGCTCCACTGGCATCCCTTCTCCCCACAGTAGCCAGAACAATATCTTAAAAATGTAAGGCAGATATTTTCTAGCTTGCATAAAATTCTTCTGGCTTCCTGTCACACTTAGAATAAAATAAAAACTCCTATCAAAGCCAAACAGAACTGACATGATCTGGCCCAGCTCCTCACCGATCTCAGCATTAACCATGGCCTCGCCCTCATGGCCCTCAGGTTCACAGGTTTTTTCTACTTTCCTTGACAACAAAAGTAGGCTCTCACCTCGGGGCTTTTTACCAACTGTTTCCCCTCCCTAGGATCGCTCTCTCAGGTCAGGGAGACTCTGCTCGAATGTTACTTCCCACAGAAGTCTTCCTTGATCATCTCAGTAAGATTTCAGACCTCATTTTCTATAAGTTTCTATCCTCTTTTTTTTTAAGTTTCTATCCTCTTTAATCACACCATTTAATCTTACACACACATTACATATACTCAATTGCTCCTTTATTAGTGACCTTTTTCCCTCACTAGAATGTAAGTTTTCAAGAGCACATAGTTATATCTTTATCGCTATTATATATATCCTCAGTGTCTGGAAAAATGTCTGAAATATTCTCTTCATAGATATTTGTTGAGTCGTCTAAGTAGTTAATTCGTTTTGTAAATGGGGAAACTGAGGTTTGAGAAGTTGTGACTTCCCTGCTGGGAGGTCATGCATGAACCATCCCAGAATGCAATATCGCCATTTTTTAAGGAAGTAAAAACCATTCTATTTCTTAAGTTAACCTTTATGAAGTACTAACAACTGCCAATCACAGTCCTTTTTCCTCCTCTTCCAACCTCTGAGTTTTTCTCTTTATTGTTAGGTGAAGAGACTAAAGGTTAAAAAGATGAGTTGACTTGCCAAAGTCTCACAGCTAGCTAGCCCTTGACCAAACTGGGAATAGAATCCAGGGCTGTGAATTCTAAAACTCAAGGTTTGTCCTGCATGAGTTCTTCCTCCCATGAGAGCCAGGTAATCTCCTCATGAAAGTGGGCATTTGCTGTAACATTTTGCTGGTCATCGATTCCCTCTTTCTCTGAAAACAGTGCTTCAATTTTCCTTTGCAGAACTACCCTTCCCCTGCCTCAGTTCCTAGTTGCAGTGATGAGCACATGACCAGGACTGGCCAATCAGAACAATCCATTCCCTGGTCACAGTAAATCTGTTCATCAGATAGACTAGTGATAGCCAGACTGGGATTTCTATTAGGAAGGGTCCCCCTACCTCCTGGTGTTGCTAAACCAACAGACTTTCAGTGTGAAGTCATTGGTGGCCATCATTGCCACTTTGGAGGGAGAGCCTGAATAAAACCGACCCAAAGGAGAAGCAACAGAGAGAATACCAGTGTCCTGGTGACATAATCTGAGGCCTCAGATTTAGCAGTGTCTTAAGACAGTTTTATACTTGAATGAGCCAACAAATTTCTTTTGTTCATTCCATAAGCCAGTTTGACTTGGGTTCTAGCATTATTTGCAACAAAAAGTATCCTGTGAAACATACTTGAAATTCAATATTGTATTTGTATACAGATTAGAGGGAAAAACTGGAACTAAGTAAAACCAGTTAAGAGCTGGCTAAAGTTCATCTCACTGAAACTCTATTTTAAAACATTACAGCATGGGGAAAACCTTATATATTCATAGTGTGGAAATTAATAAGAAAATCTCAATTAAAATTGGAGTTGGGAAGGCCTATAGAGGGAGCTCTTGTGCCTTACCCCAAACAGGAAAGGATTATCTGGCATCTACAACAGGAAGATTTATCTCCTTTAGTAGTACCCCAGCCAATGAAAACACTGTAGCTCAACCAATGAAAAGTTGTTGTCACCTCGAACTCTTATTTTCCTCCAACAAACATTTTTCTTTTACTAATGATTTTCTTGCCCCATCCTCCTTTCTTTAAAAGCCTTCCATTTTGTATTACTCCCTGCTCGCTAGATGAGATGTTGCCTGGTTCATGAATCATTGAATAGTGTCAATTAGATCTTCAAATTTGCTCAGTTGAATTTAGTTTTTAAGAATAATGATGTTCAGTGTTATATTTTACTTATCAAAACCCAGTGAAAAAATTTTTAATTGATTGCCATTTATTAAGTCAGCATGCATTCTGTCAGAGACAAACAGTAACAAAAGAGAAGATTGTGATTAGTACCTATCATAATTTGATCAGTTGCTCACCTTCCACTATTTTCTGCCATGATCCCCAGAAACAACTAATCAGAGCCAGGACTATATGGACACCTCTTGTTAGCAAGACTGCATAGAGCAAGAGGGCTTTGCAAGGAACCATTGCTTTTAGCTTACATACTTAACATTTCTAGCTCCTTAACAAAACACTACCTACCTAGTTAATTAAATCAGCCAAGAGCATTTCCTATGTGTAGGTACAAGCCATGTCACTTCTAAGAGTTGTCAATTTGGAATTCAGTAAAACTGTGTATCTCTGTGTGTGTGTTTTAGTGATAGCCATGCTATATCCAATGACATGATCTAAGAGACAAGGAGTGATATACCTTCCATGTCAGTTCCCTTCAGAGAAACAGTCCCAGAAACAGTCCCAGAGGACCAGAAAAAGAACACAGCAAATCCTAGGAAAGGAGTAGAGGAGGGAGTCACATAAACCCTTGACCATGTAAAGTACAAATGAAGGTCTCAGTATCTTTCAAGGCTAGGACAAGCTCAAGCCACTGGAATCATTTGAAAGTAAAGCAACAGCAACACACAACTCTGTTAGATTCCTTGGAGTATCTCCTCCTTTGTGAATATACATTCAGACTCTGATCTTTACTTAAAAAGGAGGAGAAGGAAAAGATGGTATTACTTATGCTGCCCAATGCTTATTCCAACATGCACCCAATCTTTACCCTTGTCCTTTAATTCAGAAAACTATGAAATATTGCTGTGGAACAGTCGTTAATGGTTAACAGAGGTGTGTAGTTGCATCTCTATTACAAGAAGTGTGAGTGCAGTACTCACCTGTGAATAGCACCCACCTACTGAAGTCAAGTATGAGTGTAGTTTGATGCAGTGCCCAC